GAGATGCAATCCTCCTGGTTCCTATGCCTTAACTACCACACTATCCCACTATTATAGAGATCTGCAAACTAGCTCCCTATATTATACATTATAATGGTACCTATCTCACCAGTTGGTGATGTCTCTCGAGAATTCTTCTCCAAATCTCCTGAAGATGTCTCTTTGTTAGTATCTGACCACCAACAAATCCTTCAAGAAAAAGGGAAACTCACCTCACAGCTTAAATGAGGGTGGAAGTCCAAAGAAATAACCTTTAAAGGATGTGGTCACTTAATCCTATCTCCAATAATTCTTCTCTCAGTAGCACTGGGTTTTAAGTATGCAGACTAGAATATATTCAGACTTATGTACTGAATGTATGTGTGTTTATTCCTTACAGAAAAGGCACTTTCATGTACAGTAAGATATAATGTTGCTCTTCTAGCTTGGCCAGACCAAAAAGAGTCACTTGATATTTAACAAAGATACGCAATCAGTTTGTGTTTATCATGTGTTTGTGCTCTATCAGTTATGATATGTAAATTGTTTTACAGTTAGAATTGCCTTGATTCTAAACATTATGAAATAACAATATAGTACTAAATATTATGAAAATGGTGAAGGACATATCAGAGAGGGTTCTATCATTAAACAATATGAGTTGTCTCCTCTAAACCACATATTTTGATTGAAATAAAATAGAGGAAATTATTAGTTATTAAATGTGTTACTATAAAATGTTGACTCCTGGTGATGGGGAGGGAGAAAAAGAGCTGTGAGATGTTTAGTTTTTTAAAAATACCTTTGGTTGTTTAGAATAGCAACCAAGCAATGCATGAACATCAGTTGAAACATATGTCATTCTTCCAAACTAATGAAATCATGACATCTTGGGTTACAGGTACAAATTCACAAGGGAAAGAAGCTAGCCTTTACCTCACATCAGCAACAGTATGCCTTCTTGTCTTGTCTTCCACATTCTTTTTTTTTCCACTGTGCCCCGTCTTGTCATCTAATTCCCACGAAATCCTCCTGTCTTTTTTGCCATCAACTTTGCAGTTCTCTAAGGATTTTGATCTTCCCATAGTCACAACATGCAGGCATGCAAAATTAAATGTAGATAACTCAAAATGAAAAAAGGAATTATGAGGTACTTGTTATCTGTCCCATATGTCACCTCCATCTGCAGAGCCAAGCTTTATCTCCCCACCAACAATAATTTACCTTATCCTTTTTTCAAATCCTGTATTGGCTTAACCATTTCTGAACCTCAGCAATTTCAAAGGTGTAGACTTCAACTCTTCAAGGGGCTGGCTGGGGAATTCTGGGAGTTGAAGTCCACACATCTTGAAGTTGCTGAGGTTGTGAAACATTGGGTTAACCACTCCACCTGACAAAGTGAGCTTACAAAAGCTTATGCCTTTTAGGAAAAGTTGTTAGTCAAAAAAGGGGCTTAGACTATTGATTGGGGGCTCCGATAAATTAACACATCACTCCTTGTGCAATGTCTAGCTTTGTGTGTAAATTTAACAAAAGAAAGAGGGAAAACTAAACCACTGAAAACATTTGATTGCAAAATCACGTTATCTGAAAGCAGGGTTGTGAACAATTGATGTCCTAAGCACAGCCCAACAATAAAGCCCTTTGGCCCTTCCACTGTTTAACTAACAAAACATTAAAACTCAGTAAGAGCTGAAGGTGAAACAGGAAGTTAAAAATTCAGTTTTCTTCCTAGTCATCTCCCAGGAAAGACACCAGAACTATATTAAACTTTTTTTTAATTCACACTACACAGCCATAAATAATAGAATTTCATTTTACTTATAACTAGGGCAACAGAAAAAAATGCAAATTTCAATGCTTCTTAATGCATTTTTAATAAAATTGTTGTAAGGGAAAAATGGAAATATATTTTTTTTTGCTAACTATTTTTAATCGCCCTCCCAAAGATAGCTAAGAGAAATAACCCTTCCCTTGGTGCCATAAGCATATGTTTTTGTTTGTTTGTTTGTTTAATGATTAATCCAAGATTATCTTAAATGCAAGAAGGGCCAGGTTTGCTGGTTTTAAGGGAAATTTTATTTTTTCTTTCTGGTTTCATAATTTATAAGTCTTTGTTCAGTGCTATTTACTTAATCAGTTAAATAAAGAAGGACTTTTCAAGAAAAGTAGTCGCACTCTCACACAGTTGAAATCAGATAATTCAAAAAGTTCCAAATTTATCAAAAACTATTAGGGTGTTTTGTACCCTTGTACAGAAATGAAACAAACTAATATTTGACTTGCTAAACCGTAATTCTTATACCTAAGAATTGTTATTTTAAGATAGGGTAACTCTGTCACATAGTATATATATTAAAAATCTTATTGCTGAGAAATAAATTTGAATAGCAAGCAATGCTATTGTTTAGTGTCTTAAAAAAGAAATACAACTGTTCATTCAGGAACATTATTGCAACACTTTTACTTGGAATAATTCCAATCAAACTTGATGGACATACTTATGAAAACACCTTCACAGGATTATACTTTCAATGGGTTTCTAAAAACAAATCAGATATTTATGTTTTGTCTATATTAATTAAATTCCTGCAGGCTATGAAATACTTTTTTGCATTATTTCAAGAGATGCCTTAACCTATAATTCTCTTCTGAATTTGCTTTTTCAACTCAGATTCTCAAACTACCGTAGAGGGAAACAGAATAATGGAATACTAGATCATATGCCTGAGATTTGTTTGAAGGGTAACAGAAAATTCCTACAGATTTCTTCCTTACCAAAATAAAAGAATTGGATAGATTAAAAAGGAAACGGTTGATTAAAGGATTTTCTTTGTGTGTGTGTATGTGTGTGTTTTGGGGGGAGGGGGGAATCTGGTTCACATTTTCCTAGAAAGTTAAACAAGTTGTGTTTTGCCCATAAGACTTGTATGTATCACATCATATATGTGAAATAATGTGCTGTGATGTATCAGACATTGAAATAGTCACTCATATGTCTGCAAACCCCAAATTACTTTACAGTGTACACCTGATCATTCTGAAGCAGTTGAAAATATAGATTATGTTTTTTTTCTGGACTTATAGCTCTGGCTGGGGGATCAGGTGGCAGTTGTGTCCAGATAGGTCTTTGTACAGATTCAATATATGCCAGTTGTGCCCATTTCTGAACTGGAAGCATTCTGAACCTGCTAGACAGTCACTCCCTATCACTGGAAGGCTTGCTTTGATCGCTTTGTGTGTGGCTTGCTGCAATGCACTGTACATGGACCTACCTTTGAAGGTCACTTGGAAGCTGCAGCTGATCCAGAAAACATGGGCAATCATGAGCATGCATAATATGCCCATGTAACACCTATGTTCTTTTACACTAGCTAACAGGTTCAGAGCAATTTGAGATGCTTATAAACTCCTTCATTGTGTAGGGCCTGGCTACTGTCTGTCTCCTGTGATGCCTGCCTATCCTGTTTAATCTGAAAGAGTTGTCATCTTCTGGGTCCCATCAATTAAACAATGCAATCTCATGGGACCCAAGAAGTAAGCCTATTTTTATGTGCTCACTATACTCTGGAACAGCATCTTTCCAGAGATTTGTGTGGCTCCTACCCTAGACTTATTCAAATAAGCTCTTAAAACCTAGTGCTTCCTCTGGCCTCAGTTTACATTACATGATAAGCTTCTTATGGAGGAGTTCTATGTTAAGAACATGCTGGTTTATTCTTGTGGATTCATTTTTAAGATTGTATACTGCCCAGAACTGTTACGGAGTCAAGTATCCTTAAAAATTTGGAACATATTTGAATAACATGCCACAACCAAATACTTTAACTGATTTTGTGTTGCTCACAGGAAATTACCATACAACTAGACTTAAGTTTTAAGGATTTCGAAGATATGATGCAGAAGAAGTATTTCGTAAAGCAACTTAAATGTCCAGACTGCTATTTGATTATGATTGCTTCATTAAATAAGGACAGATACAGTGGTTACAATGTAATACTGCAGGCTACTTCTGCTGACTCCTGGCTACCAGCAGTTTGGCAATTCGAGTCTCACCAGCTGAAATTTGACTCAGATTGTTGGGGGCAATATGCTGACTCTGTAAACCGCTTAGAGAGGGCTATAAAGCATTATGAAGCAGTATATAAGTCTAAGTGCTTGCTATTGCTATAGACTTTTTAGATGAAATAAAACTCTTGTTAATTTTAAGGGATGCTTTGTACACTGACTATTAATTATTAAATACTGGCTTGATTTTAATAATGGTTCTGATATGTTAAACTGATGTAAGATCAGTTTTATTTTCAACACAAATCTAACATTACTTCAAAAATTCTTATTTGACTTTATATAGTTTGTAAATCATGTCTATATTTTTTTTTACTTTTTACTTGAACAGAATAAAACAGTTGGAAGGGACATTTGAGGTCTTCTATTCCAACATGCTGCTCAAGCAGGAGACCCTGTAACATTCCACTCAAATGGTTGTCCAATCTCTTCTTTAAAAAATCTGCAGTGATGGAGCACCCACATCTTCTACTGGGTTTTTTTGGTGGCCCTGCTTTTAAACAATTATTAAAAATAAAAGGGAAAAATCATACTGCAAGTATAAAAACTTCATTCGCTGGAGTTCAAACTATATTGAACTTGCTTGGATGGTAGTTAACAGCATTTGCTTGAAATTCCTGCACATTTCAAAGGATCTTTGCAAATTAGAGGGTTTTTTTGGTTTTTCTGCACTTTCTTTGAACCCTTGATATGTTTTGATGTAATGCTGTATCCTGTGGACATCTGTATTTGTGACACATGCCAAAATGACTTTTTTAAACCACTGCTTTACCATATGAAGAAAGGTGAGCGTCTTCGTCTGATCTCACCAAATGTTTACTGTTGTTGAGGAATCTGTTTATTTTGTAAAATTATGTGAATCTAAAATATAGGGTTTAGCAAATCATTGTACATTGTATGGAAAAAGAGATAAGGTTTTAATCAGCACATTACCCTAAAGATTTAAAGCTCACCTGATTCTGCCTCTTGGATGCTCGGATTGCTCTGACATAAAGCTTGTGCTGCTGAGGCGAGAGGCACTGCTGGTGCGGGAAATAGCTGACACATCACTGACATCACTGTCTGAGGACTTGGCAGAGACATTATCACAACTTCTGTACTGATCGGTTTGTATATTATACTGAAGATGAGAAGAGACAACGTGAGGTCCATTGACACGCATGCAAAACCAAAAATGTCATGTCATTACAAGCACCGTTACGAGAGGCACAACTTCAGAAGGCCGCCAATGAGCTGCTGCTGCTTTTATGTAGTACAGTAATTAAAAAAAAGAGGCATACACTATTTCATAAAGTTTAAGGGACCAGTTTATGAGAAGGTAAACAGTAAGAATAGAGTATTAACTTCAAAATGGATAAATAAAAATATTAATTTGCAAATGACCATGATTCTGATCGTTTCTGTATGCACACATTATCTCTGTCTTAAAAAAAAAAAAAAGACTGGTAGGCAGCATTGTGGTAAGGAGCCAAAGATAATTTTGCCATTCTCATGTTCAGCAAGAAGTTGCTATTTTTTTTAAAAAAAAAATGGTGGCGGCATTAGCATTGTTGAGTATTGAAATGATTAAGGGTAACAATCTGAGCTGCTAAATGATGATGCAATCTCTTCAAAGTTTCTACTCTAAACTTGATTTCCAATGAGTGTTTACTACTATCAGTGCCCATGGTCCACATTTGGATTTTGTTGATTTCTAGTGGATACTCTTAAAACTATTATTTAGCAACCAGGGAATGGAAAGTGTACAGCAAAATAAGGATACTAGAACAAAAAACCCTGCTTCTTGTTAGCATTTCTGTTGTTCTTTAGTGCTGTTTTTAATGAAAGGAACAGATAGCACAATCCAGCTAAAATGACCATTTCAGAATGACCTGAAAATACACTAAGTATTGATATTTTTAGTAATTTAACAGTAAATAATTCAATCACCCTATTTGTCAGTTTGGACAATTAGTTGAGAATATAAATGCAGTACATTGGCTATAAAAACACTCAACACTCTTCTAAAACACCCTCAACACTCTTCTAAAATTTATTAAATCATCTATAAGCTATGCTCAGTTTCAAAACCCATCTACAGTATCAGTGTTTCATGCCTGGTTTTACAATTAAACTCCCTGCTTTATATTATGAATACTACATAAGAAGCTTTAGTTAAGTAATTTATAAAAAAGTATTTCACAAAATTAGGAAGTTGTATATATAAATACGTTGCTGCTAGCAGTCTCCTAGAATCTTGCCCTCTAGGCTTAAAACCCCCATCTGCCTGAATCAGCTGTATAAAGCTGCTTGTTTCCTGGCTTTCAATGTTTCTGCCACCTGTCTCTTGTTAATAAAATTCCCACTTTACAGTTTCAATCTTCGAACTATTTCATTACGATTGGATTAGGTATTGGACCACTTTTCAATCTCTAATGGTCCTTTTTCTGTTACATATCAAATGATCGAATAAACTCAGGTAATAACAAAAAGATCAAATAAATCAAGTAAAAGATTAAAAAATCAAGTAAATTGCAGGCTGTGTGGAGGCAACATCCTGTAGTCCAGTGATGGCAAACCTTTTAGAGACTGAGTGCCCAAACTGCAACCCAAAACCCACTTATACATCGTCGGGTGCCGGGTGGATGTGGCCCATTGGGTGGGCGTGGCTGCGGTGGTAACTGCAGACTGGGTGGGACTAAAAAGTTTGATCAATCAATTCCAACTTTGCAAGATCTTTTTTTCCCCGCAAGATGAAATAGACTGATTGATTGAACCTTTTTTTTTTTTTGCACACAGTGGCGGAGGCCTAAAGCGAAAAGGTTTTATAAAAACCAGCTGAAGGCCTAGGACTGGGGTGACGGTGTGCGTGCCCACAGAGAGGGCTCCGAGTGCCGCCTCTAGCACCTGTGCCATAGGTTCGCCACCACTGCTGTAGTCTATCCACCAAAAGATCTCCCCAAAATCATGGTGATGCTTTCTGGTTTTCCTCAATGTGAAATTTTTAATATGGTGTATTTGCACAATACGATAAGCCATAAAGCTGGAGAAGGCAGTTTGCAAGCTACATGGTTCAGAAGTGGGGGAAGGTCTAGTTTATCAAATACCTTACTGAAGTCCAAGTAAATTATATCCACAGCATTTTTCTGGTCCATTAATTTTGTCACATTGTCAAAGAATGCAATAAGATTTGTTTGGCTCGATCTGTTTTTGACAAATTCATGTTGGCTTCTGTTTATGACTTTGTTTGCTTCTAGCGTTTGCATATTTGTTGCTTGATTATCTTTTCCAGAATTCTCCCAGGTATTGATGTCAACCTGATAGGTCTGTAATTTTTTTTCCAACTTTAAAAAAGAAAAAAAAAAATGGATCCAGAAAACTACAGATCTATCAGCCTGACATCAATACCTGGAAAGATTCTAGAAAAGAAATATAACAATATCTATTCTTCCAATATCTTTGCTTTCCAAAAACTATTGTAATTTAATTGTCTATTTAGTAATTATTTATTAGATTTCTATATGGGCACACTCCTGGAGAATTTATTGTGGCTTCCAGCAGAAAAATCATAGAGTAGAACCAATTTAAGGAAAGTAAAGTTTTTAACAGTTTTTAGTTAAAACAGCTAAAATCCATATTCCCACTGTTATTATATTTATTATTAAATATTCTAATACCCATAACCATATTAAAATTTCTTCCAAACATTACTGCTTTCATAGCCTTTCTAAATATCAATAGAAAAGGAGCTATATGGATATTGTTGTTGTTGTTAATTGCGAAGTCGTGTCCGACCCATCGCGACCCCATGGACAACGTTCCTCCAGGTCTTCCTGTCTTCTACCATCTTCTGGAGTCCATTTAAGTTCACGCCTACTGCTTCAGTGACTCCATCCAGCTACCTCATTCTCTATCGTCCCCTTCTTCTATTGCCCTCAATCTTTCCCAGCATTAGGCCCTTCTCCAGTGAGTCCTTCCTTCTCATTAGGTGGCCAAAGTATTTGAGTTTCAACTTCAGGATCTGGCCTTCTAAAGAGCAGTCGGGGTTGATCTCTTCTAGGACTGACTGGTTTGAACGCCTTGCAGTCCAAGGGACTCGCAGGAGTCTTCTCNCAGGGTGATGTCTCTGCTTTTTAGTATGCTGTCTAGATTTGCCATAGCTTTCCTCCCCAGGAGCAAGCGTCTTTTAATTTCTTGGCTGCAGTCCCCATCTGAGGTGATCTTGGAGCCCAGGAAAATAAAATCTGTCACTACCTCCATTTCTTCCCCATCTATTTGCCAGGAATTGAGAGGGCCGGATGCCATGATTTTGATTTTCTTAATGTTGAGTTTCAAGCCAACTTTTGCACTCTCCTTCTTCACCCGCATCAAGAGGCTCTTTAGTTCCTCTTCACTTTCTGCCATTAGAGTAGTATCATTTGCATATCTTAGGTTGTTGATATTTCTCCTGGCAATCTTAATATTATCTCAAGGGTTTGTGACACAACCAAAAGGCATTGCTTTCTGCTGTCCCCATAAGTCTCACACAGGTAGGCAAAACTCTCAGCACTGCAGCAGTTCCTAATTAGCTTAGTGGAATACACTTAGTGGAGTGTCTTTTATATATAACTATAAAAAAATGTAGAATGAGACAAATTGTCTAATACAAACAAAAGCAAAGAGAAGGTCCAAAAATACCAGTTTGTTGGTATTTCTGAATGATGGGGAGCAAATAATAAAAAGCAAAGGAGAAAAAGGACAGTACAACATAATCATACCAACTGTGCCTGTTTTCTTCACGCATTGCTACACATACACATAATAGGTAGAACATGTATCACAATCTCATAACACGTGATGAAAATGCTGTGTTCTACAGATTACATTTATCAATACATAAGTTGCCATAATGTTTTGATCTGAAATCTTTGAGGGAATTGAAAAAAAATTGCACAACATTTTTTAAAAATAAATCCCATGATAGGGGATTATTGTCTAGATTGCCTACAATAGATAAAAAGTGGTGCTTGCATTAACAAATTGATTCAATTTCTCCTGTTAGCAATCAGTAAGTTATTCCAGAAAATTCTAATTATTGGATAATAAAATCACTAGCAAAAATCACAGTTTAAACAAAAACTTCTGCTTGTAAATAAACAATTACTATATATGATTGATCTGACTAATGTGTTTAGTCAACACATTAATGTATACAACTGAATATGTGAATAGCAAATTGAATCCTTTCCTTCTGCAAACTCATGCTATAGTATGTGACGAGTTTATTATCCATGGAAACCTTTATAGATAAGTAAAAGCTTTCTGCTGTAAACAGTCACACTATGTACATGAAGAACAGTTGTGAGAGATTATGAGGAAGAAGGAAAAGGAATAACTTAAAGAGGGAATGACCTGCTCACCGCTTCTTCTGAGCTACTCACTTGCTTCTTGCCTGCACAGGGCTTGTATTACTACTTGAAATGTAAGTTTCCTAATTGTAGAAAGACTTTTTTTTTTAAAGGAGGGATATCTCCCTGATTCAGTTACAAATCCTAGAGATAGATTTCCAATTTGACAAAAATGATTTGTTTTAGAAATCCTCCTTAAGATGTTTTTTTAGCTTTAATTGACACAATGTGAAGATTAATGACTAATATTCTTTATTATTTTAATGGGTGGGAAGGGGGAACAAAACAATAATTTTATTTTCCATAACCAGAATTAGAATGTTTAACTGTAACCATCTCATATATTCTTTTAATGCAGTTAGTTTTTTTTTTAAAAAGTTGAGGAGTGTTCCCTCCTTGAAAAAAATTCACAAATGAAATAATGACATAATAATATGGTTTCTGTAAAATAACATAGTCCCAGTAGCTTCCTAAGCTAAACCAATAAAAAGCATCTTTGGAGTGATATCAGGTATTCCTCCTCAATATTTTTGTTTTATGCCATATTTTTAACATCTACAGTATGTAAATTCTCCAACTTTTGAAACAAAGTGTTGTATTTTGATATTTACCTTAGTATATTGCTCATGTTCAAGTTCTTGACTAGAACCACACCCTGTTGTCTGATTATACCGGTGCATTTTCATTTTCATCTGTCTTGTTCGCTCCTCCACTACTAAATTTACTGCAAAAACAGATAATGGAAAACTATTAAAAAGTGGTTGAAAAACTTTGAACGTAGGAAGTGATTTGATGCAAATGTGACTTTATTTCAAACTGAATAAATATTCAAAAAGCATCTCCATCAGGATGTGAAAGCAAAACATAAGCATGCTAATGGCTGATCAACAAGGATTGCTTGGAAACCTTATCTACATATTTCCAACATATCCATAACGTGCATTCTTTTATATAGAATATTTCTTAAAATTGAAAAATATTATTTTTTTTCCTTTTCAAAATACATATCTCTATAATATATCTCTACAAGGATAACATGCTAAAATATTTATTGTACTTTTAAAATAATTTTAATGGGGTTCTTAAAAGATATGACGTTTGCAAATGTGGTAGATATGGCTTCCAAACAATTTTGCATCACTTTGTTTATAACTGAATTAAAGCCTCAAAACAGCAGCCTGTTTATATGCAAAGCTTTTCTCTATATTGAACGGAGGTTACGGCCTCACACATATATTTTGATACAGGAAAACATCCTGGCTGGATTGTGTCTAATTTGACCCTGGCATATAGATTCCTGAAAAATATATATTCCTTCCATAGAACAAGAACAGTAAATTCAGTTTCTTAGAAAATCAGTGTACATCATCATCTACTGAATTTAAATACCTCCTCACACCTGAGTGTGCGAAGTATAACAAGAAGGGGAAAAGGAAACGGAAAGTATGCAAAGCATAGATCAGACATGTCAAACACAAGGCCCGGGGGCCGGATGCGGCCTGCGAAGTGGTTTCATGTGGCCCGCGAAGCCATTTGGAAACAGTGAGGGAACGGCCCCCGCTGCCTTGGCCCTGGCCCAGGCCGGCCGGGAGCCAATGTACAATTTTGTGGTGGCCATCTATGCTGAAACACATTCAGTCTTAGCTCCGCAAGGCCGTCTAGAAACAGCGAGGAACCAGCCCCTACTGTGTCGGCCCCGCCCCCTGGGTGCATGCTGGGGAAGTGTCACCCTTTGTGAGGAATGAAGAAATGGACCATGCCTTGGCGCCTGCCCCGGTCCCACCCCCTTCTGCCAGAGACCCTCAGATCTGTCCCACTTCTGCCCAGGCCCCCACAGGCACCCTTGATGCGAATGATGTAGAGCTGGCCATGCCCACCCAGTAGGCCACACCCACTCCATCCACGCCTACCCAGTAGGCCGCACCCACCCTGTCCACACCCACCCGGCCCCCCGAGGGCAACTGTAATGGTGATGCGGCCCTCAATGAAATTGAGTTTGACACCCCTGGCATAGATGTAGGTAAATACATAATCAAAACTTAGTTTCTAGCTGAGAAAGACGATTAAATTAAACCTTTGGGCAATAGCAGATTTATAAGACAGTTTTAAAAGGTTGCACCAAATACATGTGCAATATTATATAAAATAAAGACATAGAACCCAGGTAGTGAATGAGTCAAATCAGGAGATTTGGGGCATATTATTTTTTCTGAAAGCACAGATGTGCTCTGGCTTATCTAAGAAGGTATTGGCGCATTCTGGATTTTTGGAAGTATATTATTGATACTTTCTAACACACTTCATTAACTGTATAGTTTATGTTTTAATCAAACAAAAGCAAAAGAGACAGCTATTAATAACAACAATAAATATTTGCCATGTATTTTCCTTTTCATGTATTCTGTCAAATAATCTTAACCGACTCCTAAATGTATTTACTTGGCTCACTGTGTTTGCAAAGGCCTGCTTTTAACTAGCCTGGTATAGGACCCCAATTTTAACATTCTCATTGCTATCTAAATCATCCGGGTTAGTCTTAGAGGCCCCTGCCTACAGCTCTTTGATGAAGATGTGATAGTGGAGATAAATGAATCCAAATCCAAACAGGTGATGAATACATGTCAAACTTCTCCAGTGATGATAATATCTTTCTTCACAGCATAACCATTTAGATAGGTAAGGGAAGCCATATGCCTAAAACCTGTTAATACTGTTTCTGCAACTTGCTACTAAGGTAGCTTAAAATCCCTCTGTAAAACACTATGTGATTAATTCACATAGCTATGCACCATGTGTTAGGGAATAACCTGAGGATCTGGAGTTCCTTCATTATACAATTGTAATGCAAGCTACAGTATTGCTTTATTAAAAACATCCCCTGGGAAGGAAAATTCATATTCCCTAGTACAGAGAGAAGATACAAAACAATGGTCCTGGCCACACAGAAATCTAAAACTTGGGCCATGCATATTCAAGGCACTGTGGTTATTACAGAAAGTTCTAGGTGTAAAATGTTTAGGGAGCATCATGGCTTAAAGTTAGTACACAAATTGTCACTTGGTGTTTTTGCTCAACATTCACATAGCCTCATTCATTTCAGAGTCTAGGGTGGCAGCATTTTCTATGTGTAACCCTCCAATTTTTCCGAGTCTTCCAATTTTTTTTTCTTAGACTGTCCAATAGTTTGGTAATGCTGTAAGATGCCAGGGTAGAAATATAACAGCTAAAACCTAAAGCAAAATATTTATTTCACCACAGAATTCCAGAACAAAATTAGCTACCTGTCTTGTAGGGTATTGGGTAATAGGAAGCTGTCTGCTTTTCCAGACCATAATGGAGTGACGTACACTTCTGGGTGTGAGCATTGTATTTAGATTATTACTCACAATCTAATGGATTGTCTTTAGCCAATAGGTTACCAGACCCTTAGACTGTGCAACTAGGAAACTAGGAAACCAATTATCTGATATAATCTAATTTTTGTAAAGTTCCAACAATGAAATGTTTATCCATGTTATTCCATAAAATTAAAGACTCAAAATTTAACCCAAAATAGATTCGTTCTCTCAAAACCATAGCTGACACAGCAATAAGACAAGGTACCTTTTTAATTAGAAATGTCTGAAAGGGAACATTAATGCCTACCTGCCTCAGAATGGAAGAAAACGAGGACTCCCCAAAAGCTAGGTTTTCTGAGGCTTCCAGGAAAACAGCACATTTGTAGTTTGGACAAACATTTGTAGTTTGGAAAACTTTTACCACTTTATCCTTGAAAAACAAATAAAGTGTGTGTGTGTGCGCGTGTGTGTGCGCGCGCGCAAAGAGTCTCAAATGATAGTTGAGAACTAATACTTGTATATTAAAATACTCAGCATATGATTTCATTTTTCAAATTTTTGATGATCTTTACTGACAGAGATTTTAGTAATCAAACATGTGTCGTATTATTTGATTTAAACATAGGGATTAGTATTACTTCACAGAACAGGCCAAGCATTGTACAAATAAGAATTTTACATTGTGAGCATTCTTCTTGCCTCTTCCAGATCATCAGGCATCATGCTATGATTAAGGGTTATAGAACTTCTAGTAGCATCTACTTCATTTCTAGTATTTTTATCTTAGTTATGTTATCTTATATACAAAATGCAGAAAGCCAGTTATCATGGCCAATTTATATTTGCATATAAAAAAAGCACGCATATACTGAAAGCCCTAATTTTCATCTATTTGTTTGACTGGCATTTTACCAGAAAGGATACCATCTTAAATCAACATTAATGTTCAGTCCACATTATAATAAAGAAATAAGTGAAGGAATTAAGATTTGGAAGGCATACACTTGGAAGATACATGAGAGAATATCTGATTGCAAAAGTTTGTAACTCAAAAAATTAAATCAAAGAAAATTGAATCCTTGGAGATGCTAAGGGAAATGAAGATGGAAATAAACTAGGAGATAAAGAAGCTGCAATTTTACAGATTGGTCTTAGTACGGACATTAGAAACATGAACCTGTGGCAATGGACGGTTGATCCCAAGGAACACAGAAAAAGGAAACTAGGAAAGATATTAAAAACTGAGGAACTGTGGACAAATACATGAACACACATGAGAGGAGAGAGAAGCAGTAGTTACCTTGGAGCTGTGGTTAGGAAAAAGAAGACAAAAAAAAAACTGGCCTAGAAAGGGCAGTTTAAGGAGAAACAAGATATAAGAAACACAATTTTAAATCAAGACAGAAAGACTACTCACAAAGAAGCAAAAGATGAGAGGGAGAAGACACAAGGCTTTTCCCTCCAACAGCATTTAGCCTAGATGAAGTTCCATTCCTTGCATGAAACAAGGGAAGAGGGGCAGGTTCTTGCAAAGTATTAAGGAATATTACTTGGCAAACTAGCTTGATGCTGAGAGAGAGAGAGAGAGATCCATAAGGCAGTAAACTCCATCTGGACCCACTAAGAAGGATCAAGGCTTGAAGACTCAAAAGGACAATCAGCCAGGCTAAGATGGAGATCCAAACCAGGAGAAGGATCTTGCAGCCAAACACAACATAGTGAGGAAGGGCTCCTACACAAGCTTTTTGCAGGGCTTCCGGGTGAGGATCTATGGTGGACTAAACATTCCTGACGGAGAGGGGGTGGCATTGCAGCAGAAATGGATAGCTAAATGGTGATTTCTGGCCAGCATAGTCTTTCTGGACAAGGAGAATTGTGGGATCACCCTCTTGCACTCTGGACAGCTATTGCTCGTAAGGAGACTGCAGGGACTGAGGTTTTTCTAGTCAATATGTGAGTTGACTGCTGGGAATCAAAAGATTTCAATCAAACTCACAGCCTAAATGCTGCCTATATGGACACAAGGCTCACAGGGGCCTCACTTTCTTAAAACACTTTCGGATGTAATCAATTAAATAAACAGAGATTTTCTGAGTGGCAGGACAAGAGAAACCCACTTGGTGAGTCAACCTTCTTTCTGGATTAGAAAGGAAAAAAAGGGGTTTCAAAGATCTACAAAATGTTTGGCAAAACGCTTAAGGAGGATTGGATGAAATTGATACTGAAATTACAAGTGGAATAACATGGCTATGCAAAATGTGTTTCATCAACATTATTCCTGTATAAAAGACAAGACATTTCTTTGGAGAAAACAAATGAATATCTACAGAAACAAATTTTACAGAGGATTACAGACAAAGAGAAACAGATTACGAATGGACCTATA